TTTGGTACTGTGTCTTTTGATTATATCTTTGGTTTTGCTTCTAGTAGGGTTTGTCTTGGTGGCTCTGTGAGGGTTGGGTTACCCAGGGTATTTAAATGAGTACTCAAGGCCCACTAATTGGGCAAGAGGGGTTTGTATAATTCTAAATAAAAGTTTATATTTCAAAAATAAAGTAATTACAATAAAATTATAGAAAGAAAGGGAACGGAGGGAAGTGGACTGGTCTGTAAAAGGAGGTTTTAATTATAAATGATTATAATTAAAAGAAAACTGGAAACAGGGTTTTCCTTCAATCCTCTATTTGACAGATTGAAGAGTGAGGTCTAGATCACTACTCTGGTTGTTCTTATGGTCACCAAACTATTTAGTACTTGTATATAGGCCACTACCCTTTTAGCTGTTGAAGGCCACCAACCTGGTATAGAATCTACTTGGGGAAAGTAGAGGATCCAAAAGGGTGAAGGAAGTATTACTTACTTTTAGTCAGGAAGCTATGAAGGTTTCATGGAAACCTTACAAAAGCCTTAAGACCTCTTTTGAGGCTCTTGCAAGTTTCTATCAAAAGTCTTTTGTGTGTGCACATTGACGTGTCACATGAATACAGACATGGTGTGCAAAATCCACAGCTCGTAATTGGCTCCTGAAAGTCTTCAGACTTGCAACACTATGGATCTCTACCTTGACCAAGCCCCTTGCTCTTTGCTAGACCTTGGCAAGGGAAGAGCAAGAGACACCGCGGGAATGATTGAGTTCAAAACCCGATTGAGCGAAGTTGCGGTGTCCGAGTCCGCAACTTTGCTCAATCACCAATCTCGTTCACATCACGTTCACAATTTGTTCACAGGTTTCCCTCCAGTTACCCTCCGCAATCTTAAGTAACAATCATACAACAGAAAGTCTGACAAGTCATCAGTCTTTGACATTTGTTGTTAATCTAATTCATCTTTCCAATTTTCATCTCAGTGCTTTCACCATGCCCCATGAAGTATTGTCCCATCACCATCATGTGGGTTGCTAATCAACAATGTTAAACAACACTGTGTGTATATGGCAAATCTTTTTAGAGACATGGACAGTGAATTGTGCTTATGTCCATCTTTTGCAATGTTCCAGATGCTCAAGCAATAAGGAATGGAGCTCATCAAGGACGAATTGAAATTTG